GGCAGGGGGGTCACTGAGGACCCCACACTCCCATCTCGGACCCCACACACCCATCCCAGCTCTGCCCCACATCCCCAAGGATCTGCTCCAGATCCGGGGGGTCCTGCTGGTTCGGGGGGGGTCATGGGGTCAGCACCCACCCGGGATTGGGGTCAGCACCCACCCGGGATTGGGGTCAGTACCCACCCAGGGGGGCACGGGTGGCACAGGGAGTGGGGGGCCCATCCTGGCAGGGGCTGATCCCGAGGGGAAATAGGATCCAATCCCAGGGTTTATGGGATCTGATCCCGGGGTTCTGTGGGATCCAATCCCGGGGTTCTGTGGGATCTGATCCCAAGGTTCTGTGGGATCCAATCCTGGAGTTCTACAGGATCCAATCTCAGGGTTCTACGGGATCCAATCCCAGGGTTCTGTGGGATCCAATCCCGGGTTTCTGTGGGATTTGATCCTGGATTTCTGTGGGATCCAATCTCAGGGTTCTACTGGATCCGATCCCAGGGGTTTGTGGGATCTGATCCTGGGGTTCTGTGGGATCCAATCCCAGGATTCTGTGGGATCCTATCCCAGGGTTCTGTGGGATTCAATCCCAGGGTTCTGTAGGATCCAATCCCAGGGTTCTGTGGATCCGATCCCAGGGTTCTGTGGGATCCAATCCCAGGGTTCTGTGGGATTTGATCCTGAATTTCTGTGGGATACAATCTCAGGGTTCTACTGGATCCGATCCCGGGGTTCTGTGGGATTTGATCCTGGATTTCTGTGGGATCCAATCTCAGGTTTCTGTGGGATCCAATCCCGGGGTTCTGTGGGATCCAATCCTGGGGTTCTACGGGATCAATCCCAGGATTCTGTGGGATTCAATCCCAGGATCCTACAGGATCCAATCCCAGGGTTCTGTAGGATCCAATCCCAAATTTCTGTATGATCCGACCCCAGCATTCCCTGGACCCCCCCCGATTTCCACAAGCCCCCCCCCCCCCCCCCCCCCCCTCCCCCCCCCCCTCCCCCCTCCCATCCCGGCTCCTTCCCCACCTCCAGGAATCCCGGGAATTCCTTCTCCATGAGGGCCCTGAGGTCCTCCTTGCCCAGGTGATCCTTGTCCCCCGCGTACTTGTGGAAGGTGAACATGAGGGTCTCCATGGCGTGTTCCAGCTGGGACGGCATCCTGGGGGCTGGGGGGGCACGGGGAGGGGGGCACAGCTCAGCGGGGCACCCCAAAATTCCCGCGGGGATCCCAAAATCCCACCCGGACACCTAAAAATTCTCCTGGATATCTCCCATCCTGCTGAGCCCGGCCCCGCTCATCACATGGATGGGACGGATTTTAAGGGGTGTGGGGGGGTGCGGGGGGGGCACAGCTCAGCGGGGCACCCCAAAATTCCCGCGGGGATCCC